ACACACACACACACACACACACACACACACACACACACACACACACACAGTTCTGGATCACACTGGACACAAAGTAGGAGCTGGTTTTGCCAGATTGATCAATATGTCGACTTAACAACGCTTAATTTTAACGCTGTAAACATAGAGAAATCATTTAACTACAGAAAACAGAACTAACAAAAGCTGAGTTTGACAACAGAGATGAGCTAAAGGTGGAAGAACAATAAAGAAGTGTCAGGTTATTTTCTGGAATTTGTCCAGGGTAAAGCCTTGTGACTTCTCACTGGCATTTCTTTACTCTGCACCGACTTTTCACACACACATACAGGCACATTCACACACCTTAGGTTTTTTATAACCCCCGCCGAGGTATTAGCATTTTACAGTAAAGTATCTTTTTGGTTGTTTGCTTGACAGACAGACACAAGTACCTTCATAAGAATTTCCTGTTAGTCCTGTCTTGAGTTATAAGCCTCTTGGTGCTGATCCCTCTGTACTGGCTGCACGAGTCGAGTCCTCCAGATCTCTGCGAGGCTTCAGGCAGAGCGGAAGCTGGATCCCAGAGAGGCTAGAGAGCTGGTTATCTCACCTAGGAGGAGCCACTAAGGAGAGGCATAGCAGAATGGACCTTTGGCCTTTCTGGACCCTGTGACAGGCGTAGACAGTTAACAGTTAACACCTCAGCTGTGTCATCACATTAAGACGTTCACCTGTTTGTCTCTTCAGGGCAATTGGTTTGCAATGACTGCAATGCATCTAAAGCATGAAACGTTATACACTAACACACATGTTGTGGGGACAGCAGGAAGAGAGGATAAAAAAAACATACTAAACACATTCAAATAAAAACACTAACAAGGCCAATTAAATAAAGTCTGTGGCATATTCACAGACTTTCTTGCAAAGACTTAGATTGATCACTCGTTACATTCAGCCACAGGTTCTTTAACAGACCACACACACATTTTGCATTTCTGTCAAACATGTTTAAAACATGAGGCCTGTGTTTGCCTGCATAGCGTGCCTCACTGCCACACAAAGCCCTGTAACCTGAGGCACACAGCCAACTGCATCACTTAGATTAAACTGCCCCCACTACACAGCAACACTGCCACTTTACTGCAACAAAACTGCAGCAGATCACACTTTTATTGTTTTATTGTCTCTCTGCCTTTATGTCTTGAAAAACGCTTGTGATGCTCTTCCTAAATCTGTATATCTTGACCTGTATGTTTAGGCCATAGGAAACTTCTGTAGTGCTAGTTTGACAACTGTTCATCATGCAGCAAAGTTGGCCTGTCTTTCAGAATAACTGTAACTGTAAGGAAACAAAAGTAGTAAGGAGCTTACATTCAGTCCCAGGCAGGCTGATGGGCTTAGAGTCCGGAGCAGGGCCAGTCCAAAGTAGAAAATCAGCTTGCTGCAGAGTTTTGGGCCACTTTCTTTCACTTCTCTCCTCTTGTGTTTACCTCCCTTCCTTTTCTCTGTGCGTACCTGTCAGCCTCTCCTTTCACCTCCACCACCGCTCAAAAAGGCACACACAGTCCCATAACCAGCCGAAACCAAGACACAAGACTGTGCAAAATGTTTCTCTCTTGGATCAGACGAACATACTAAAGACATGTTTACACCTATTCACTACAAACTTATACAGAATCTATTTATTTGTTTGCCTCTGAATCCACAAAGACTCCATCTTTCTATCTCCCCCTCAGACACTTGATCAGCATGTTTCACTCTGTGACTCTGAAGTGATCTCCGGTTACCGTCTCCTATAATCGCCGGTCTGAGGCAAGCGCTCCACCTCCAGTTGTTGGTGTACCAGCCACAGTTTTTGGTTGTGGACCCTGAGCCAGGATCAGTTGTTGGTGTAAAAATGTAACAGTCAGCCAAAGACTTTGTCATAAGCCTCCTGCATTATTCACTTTGGTACACATGCGCAGGAAGGAGAGTAGAAAACCACACAAACTTGCAGCACAAGCATGCATGCACACAATAATGCTGCAAATATGTCTTCTCTACCACTGAGCTTAGACATTTTGTGATACTAAATATGAATTTTCTTTATGAGTTTATAGTCTAAAATATTGTTGACATAGACACATGTTGCTGTTACTGGTTCTAATAGTAGATATATCGCTTCTTCTAAAATAAAATGGAGGTATTGGAGTATCTGGAGTATTTATATTTAATGTAATAATAGCTGTGTCCCCACACCCACCGGCATTTCCTTGTTTGGTTATAAGCCTTTGACACTTCATTCAGCTGTAATTTCAAGTCACGACCACTCAGAGGCAGTGCTGTCACAAGCTGGTGAAGTGAAGAAGATCTCCTTGTTTTTCTTTGAAAAGTAGTGCAGCCAAGTAAAGGTCATCCTGCTGCATGTTGCCAAACAGTCCACTTCTTAAACTGAAGCAGGGCACACATTATGTTAACAGTATTTGCTGACAACTCGAACTTAATTCATTTTAAAAACAAAATTTAGATTGTAATCGAACATCACTAATTTCTGATTCTAACAAGTTCATCTTCTGATACGAGGGATTAGTCATCCCACCAGGAAACATTCACCTTGTATCCAGTCATAGAACAAGTCTGGTAAAAGTAATAATACCACACTGTAGAAATACACCGTTACAAGTAAAAGTTCAGCTTCAGTTATATGCTACTACCCCTCCTCTACATTTCAGAGAGAAAAGATGTTTTTATTCCACCACATTAATCTCACAGCTATAGTTGGGCCAGTTACTGTGCTGATTTAGAATATTAATACAAAATACAATCAACAAATAAATGATGATGCACTTTAAAAATACAGTATATATTAAGCAAAACAGCAGGATATAAAGTTAAAATGAGCTCCGCCTTTACCAGCTGCAACATTAAAGTGTTATTATTATAATATAATAATACATATTTGTCTAGGACGTTCTGCATAACGAGTACTTTTACTTTTGGTATTATAGCACATTTTCATGCTAATTTGTCAGCTAAGGTCAAATTTGAGTATTTCATCACTGATGACGTTTAGGCTCCACTCAGGGGGCGTGTCGGCTGTCACTGGTCACATGACCCGGAAAATGTGGGGCTTAATTCCTGTGTTGGACTGCTCCCAGCTGCTGAGCTTGTGCGCTACGCAGTGCAAACCCTCCGCGCCCCGGGTAGACTCTCCGCTGCACACCATGTCGGGTAAGAACCACCGGGGCTCCGCCGACACTTGCATCCGTCACAATGACACCGGAACCCGGTCAATCTGCACCGGATCGAGGCTGTGCGAACTGCCCTCTCCTCCCAAAATATCGCGAATTTTTTATTTCACGCTGCAAAGAAATCCGTCCTCTGCAACACTCACTGCTTCTGTCATGCGGACATTAATGAGGCCATGGCTTTGAATCGTTAATAGCAGTTATGTTATATGTGCTGCGGCCATTTGAAGGTTTTATATGCGTTTGATTTGATGAGTTGATGCAGCGGCTTGGATCAAAGCTGTCGGTAATCAAAAAGAGCACATCCGGTTACAAGTTTCAAAGTTGACGCGTTTGAGTGCAACTAGAGTTGAGTTTCAAAAGGCTCAGATTTAAAAGGGAGAATTGTGTTGAGAAAAGAAAATGTAATATTTCCTGAGAATAACATGTTTATTTCGATTCAGACTGCGCTTTGCTCTACTCTGAACAGTTTTTATAGCACAACCAAGACAGATTGGCCTATCAATATTAGAGCGTTTTAAAAAATCTGATGAACACGTGACAAAGATAATGGGACGATATACAGTCTTGTAACTCATCGGTTAACATTTTTACTGCTATCCATAAATCTAATGAGATGATATTGGTGGATATTTGTTAAGCTCTAACGTTGAGGTCTGATTCGTCCCCTGTAAAGTCACCATCATGTATATTGTAGCTGGTTAGAGTATTTAGCGTATAGACTAAAAATCCGCTGAGAGTGAGTGGTATTGATTTTGTCGTCTAACAAGGCAAATGAACGTATATCTCCCAAAATGTCGAGCTTTTCTTTTAAGTTGACATCTGTATTGCCACACAATGTTGAGGCCCGTTCATTGAAGGAGCCCTAAAATTCAATCTAAGAATTTTATTATGTTTATTTAATTTTATATTTTATTTACTTGGTTCATACATATCTATATTAATTAATCAAATTACAAACTAGAGCTTAAACAATTAGCCAATATGGTCCATCGTCAAAAAATGAATCTGAAAAAAATGTGATAATCGATTTTTAGGTAATTCTTTCAAATAATAATGCCACACATTAACTGGTTGTAGCTTTTCAAATGTGAATATTTGCTAGTTGTGGACTGTTGACCGGACAAAAAGCGTTTTGAAGACCTTTAGCTTTGGTGATGGTCCCCTTTCACAATTTGCCAGACCAGACGATTAAATCATTATTTTACAGTTTTTAACAGTTCTATATTAAACTTAGTTCCATAGCGCATGTATGCTTTTATTTTTTAAAGAAGACACTATTTACTTCCTGGGTTAATGTGGGGTCTTTGATAAACTTGACAGTGCGGACGTGCAGTGTGTGGCCTTGAAGTTTTTGTTTTTTTCTAATAATGTCGAGGCCTCTAGTGTCACACCGTTTATAGTGTATTACTATAAATGTGTTTCCTAGATAAGAATAACTATGAAAACTGCTCCATATGGTAATAAGGGATTGATGACAGTAACTATATGCACAAATAGAGAGTACATATCATATTAACATGAAATTACATACAGAAAACAATGATTACATGTCCTTAATGGACACTGTAGATGCAATCTCTACACGTTCTATTTGCATAGAACAATACATTTGACAGTAGAATATGCTGTAACCTATAGAAATGTATATTTTCATATATTACACATGAATTTACTACATTATATTTTAAAATTGGTGCACTCATAACAGATTAAGTTGTCGCTAACATCTTCACAGACGTGTAGGACCCAGAGGTGTGGCGGTCCTATGGCTTCATGAGGCCTCAGATAACTGTGGGAACCCGGCTCCTGCTTCCTGTATGGGCGAGACGGGCTTAACCCTCCTTTGATAGTCAGTTTAAAGTTCCTTGAAACGGACCCTAGCAACCGTACAACACTGCCTCTCCGATCAGGTTTCACAGAGGTCCCCAAACAACGCACACATTCAGCTTGATGAATACTATCGGCTGGCTCTGGGCCACAGTTCACTTGAGCACAAACACAGTGTGTCCCCCTGCTGTTGTTAATGTATGCATGGGGGACCCAGCAGACACTGAAGTTCACACACTCAAGAGGCCTGCAGATGAATTGGACGTACTCGTACCGGTGCGGCGGGTTATACACGATTGACGAGACGGGATGGTTCATTTTTGGTGTGGAGGGAAAACAAAGCAGATGACTGCATTCATTCATTTATTGTGGTTTCCTGTCAAATTTAGAGACGGATGCTTGAGCGGAAAGTTTGTGGTGGAAAGTCCACGAATTGTAGCTTTCTTTCCTATCTGAGGAGATTTACTCGCATCAATAGCAAACGTGAGTATAAATGCTCAGATGTGAGGATGCACAGCATCTTTTGAAGTAAAAAAAAAAAAAAAAGAACAGTGAAAATTGCCCACAGTCTGTATCAATTTTCGTTATTTATTGGTTATGAGGCTGTTGTGAGCCTATAGCGTCCGTCAATTTCACCAAACGCATCACAGATTTCACCGATTACATGGGTTACTATTTACCATTTTTGACACCTTCAGAATTCTAATCAAATGCATTTTATAATATACATTTTCTTGACAAACTTACATTTTCCCCCAAATGTTGATGGCAGCTATTCAAATCAAACTTCTCTGGTTAATCTTTCAGATGATGCACAATACACACCAATGTTTTAACCAATAAGAGACTTGATTAACAGTCTGATCGATGGAAGTAGGCCTGACAAACGTAATTAGTGAGATAACCTGCCAGTCACATGGCTGATGAGTGTTTGTGTGTTTCTCCAAGCAGACCAAGCTTTTGTGACGCTGGCCACAAATGACCGCTACGCCAAGGGAGCGATGGTTCTCGGCCAGTCGTTACTAAACCACAACACAACCAGGAAGCTGGTCGCGCTCGTAGGACCTCATGTTGCTGAACCTTGCAGGTAACTCAGGACAAATTGTCGAAGGTCAATATGGAACACGCACACACGCACTGACACAAATCATACCGTCTGTGTTGTAGAGACGCCCTTCGCTCCATTTTCGACGAGGTGCAAGTGGTGGACGTTATGGACTCGGGCGATGCAGCTCATCTATCTCTGATGAAGCGTCCAGACCTGGGAGTAACATTCACCAAACTGCACTGCTGGAGTCTCACACACTACAGCAAGTGTGTGTTCATGGACGCCGACACACTGGTGAGACAAATCACCCGACAACAGCAGAGAACATACACAAGGGGCGACGACAAATCACCTCATAGTTAAAAAAGTAGTACTGTTTATTGTCCTTTGATCACAACATGAAACAGTCTGTATTTAATTCATTTGTTCATGTTATATCTAATGTCCATACGGCGACAACATATTTCAGCTCCGTGACAAATGTCTTTGAGTTTAAACACATGCTGCTCCATTTTTGCCTCAGACTTCTGCAAATTGTTCTCATAATCTTGATGAATGAAACTCAATGGATCTTATTTTAAATGTATTCAGGTGCTGTCAAATATCGATGAACTCTTTGAGAGAGAGGAACTATCTGCAGCGCCGGATCCTGGTTGGCCCGACTGTTTCAACTCCGGGGTGTTTGTCTTCAGACCGTCCAATGAGACGCACGAGAAGCTGCTCACGTTCTGCAGGGAAACCGGCAGCTTCGACGGTGAGACCCGAATGTTTCCGTCCCTTTTTTTTTTTTTTTTGCATTTATTTACAAAACTAAAAAAAAGTTAAGATTCTTTCTTCTCGACTAAAACAACAGTACGATTCTGCAGACACGCTAGCAGCTCTGTGAGGCAGGTGAGACCACTGTAGTTTGAGTTAATGCTAACATTACCATGCCAACAAGTTATAATGAGAATTCTAACATGCTGATGTAAATAATGCCATTAATCTCCTGCAACCCTTCTCCCTCCCTACACACACACACACACACTCGTATAAACTTTATATATATGTCCTAAGCTTAGCTCTGACCCGGTCTAACCTTGTCCCCACACTGCCACCTCACCCCTGCAGTTTGTCTGCGGTTAACTATGTGTCGCATACATCTGCCATCTGTTCTATAAGTGCCTTCAAAGATTTTGCCATATGATGTCATTCGCTGTCCCGTCACAGCGTTCTCAACACTCCTTTTCAGTTTCTATTCATACATCACAGATAGGAAACAGTCTGTGGGAATGTAAGGCGTGTGTGGTGTTGACCATTCAGGTGTGTACTAGTGTCTGAGGGATTGCTGCAGCCAGAGAATAGAGATCAGATATGGTAAATATTACTGGAATTAAAGAACATTTATTCAAAAATGTAGTTGCAGAATCATTCTCACGTGACTATAGCTGTTTAAATTGTACCTTAACACGCGCCAAACCAGAGCTTCTAGCCGTCTCTCGGTTTGCTCTACTTCAGCCCAAATTTATGTCAACAAATGTCTCAAGCTTATGTTTGTGTTTCCATGTCTGCAGGTGGAGATCAGGGGGTTCTCAACAGCTTCTTTAACACCTGGGCGACGGCAGATATTTCCAAACACCTCCCCTTCATCTACAACCTCAGCAGTATCGCCATCTACTCCTACCTGCCAGCGTTCAAAGAGTCAGTACACACACACACACACACAATCGATGTATCCAGTGTTTCTTCCTATGTTTATGTGAAGCCGACCTATTGCCCGGATCTGGAGATGTCCTTGTGAAATGCTTGGTGTGTTAGGAGGCATAAAGCTTATCCATGGTCGGTTCAAAGGTTGTGTGTGTGTGTGTGTGTGTGTGTGTGTGTGTGTGTGTGTGTGTGT